CACAGAAATTTCATGGGGAATTAAGGCAGTCATGTCAGGGGCCACCGAGGAAACAGACTCGCCAGCTCACGCGTTCATTCCTGAACAAAGGGAACCTGATCTGAGAAGTGTGTGTTTTGGGGGGCAAGTGTGCCACTGTGCGGATGTAGCAGGGTGCACTTACACACCCCACCGCACACCAGGCTGTGTGTTACCACTGCTTGTGGGCTCCGTGCCTGCACAGCCCGCTGCTGATCCAGGTATCATTGGCAACTTTAACGGAGTGGGCTGTGTGTGTCTCTGAACATATCTGCGTGTACAAAAGACGGCAAAATTTCTAGGCGGTAGGTATTGTTCAGCTCCGTATGATCTTATGGGACCACGACCACACACTCGGACAGCGGTCGTCCTGGTTTCCCACCAGTTTGTCTCATACACGTGATCTGTTGTTGAGGGAAATGGTGAGTGGCACGGGACTGTGCTCTGGGGAAAGGGGGCTCATGGCCCAAAGAAGTTAAGACAAAACTTGGATTCTCCCCAACCTCTTTACTTGTCCCCTTCCTCCAGTGCTGCTGTTGGAAAACACAGGTCTATCACGTCACTCTGCTAAAATGCTTCCTATGATGTCACAGTACAGTGCTTTGGGGTGATCCCCCCCGCTTGGCCCACCAACTTTCCCACTGGCCCTGGCTTTCCTCAGCAGTGTCCCTCTCAGACCCTGAACCTCTAGCCACCCTGGGCTCCTCTAAAGTTGCTCCTCCTGTCACTGCCTCTGCCCATGGGCCAGCTCCATTACTCTGTAGCCTAGGCAGTGTCCATTCCTTCAAAGGTGCTGTGGTTCCCGTCACTTTTCTCCATTTCTAATAGCCGTTCTCTACCTGGCTACATTAGAATCCTGAGGAGCTTTCAGAAAAGCCAGGGCCCCGCCTGGGGGCCTGAGTTCCTGGAGATCTTGTCTGTACCCCTTCGTGGCCCTCCTTGTGGCTCCCTTTCCCGTGGGTTTCTAGAGCTCTGTCCATGCCCTTCCACCTCACCACACCACAGCGACTAGAGTTTGCTCCCCACCCTTCGGCGTGAGACCGGCACCCTTACTGTTCACCTTCTGTGTCCCCTGTCAGGGCCCCGCCCCAGCCCACCTCTCTACAGTGAAGGGCGACAGCCTGCGTCCTCCCCGGAGGTTATTCAGCCACCAAGCCCTGTGTCTTCCATCTCCAGGATATTCCCCAGCTGCCCTCCTGGTTCCCCTTCTCCATGGCCGGGACCCGCAAGTGCTTTGCTGCTGCCTGCCCCTTCCTGGACACACACAGGCTTCTGAATTCCTCTTGAGTCGGGCGAAAACTTACCAAGGGCTTTGAGGCACTCCTCCATCCAAGAGCCTTTTCTCCCCGACCTCCGCCCATTTCTTTGTACAGCCCATGGCTGTCTTCCCTCCCTCCAGTCTCCAGAGCCCCCCACTTTCTGTGTGCTGGGCCCCTCCACCTTGGGGTGCCCCACTGTCCCCTCTGTGCAGTGGCGTCCTTGGCCACAGCACTCACATGCCTGTGCCTTCAGCGTGCAGACTGCTATGTGAATTCGACTGTTGTCGTTGCTGTGCTGCTTTTCTGCCATCCAGCTCCGCTCAGTAGTTCTAGCACAGCTCTGTACCCTCGAAGCCCTTTCTTGGGATCACTGTGAGCTACTTTGCAAGGACCTGGAGACAAACACATTCATGCCCTCCTTCCTTACATTGTTGGAACTCTTTACTTAGTTCCATTTTCCGACAGGCTCTTAGTTACCAGCAAATTCTTTACACACCATCCTCAGATCAGCTTCCAAGCCAGCCGCTGGGTCTCTGACGCCCACTCACAGCCCTGGCTCTCAGACCTGGGGCTTGCAGGAGTCAGAGTCTGGCTCAGTTCTCCTAGACGCCCAGGAAGAAAGTGCCTGGGGGGGGGCAGCAGCTGCCTCCACCTACCTTGGAGTTGGCATTGGCCCAACCTCTCCAGGGGGGGGAAGAGAGGCGGATGGAGGGGGAGGGGAGCAAGTTTGTAGTGGGCTCCTGCCAAGGAGTGGGTAGTGAGCAGTTTCAAGTCCTTTTCTTCTCTCCCTACCGGAGAGCCTTACAAGAATGAGCAAACCAAACTGTTTGGTTGCAAGATTATGATTCGCCCATCACCCCCCAGGAACGCTGTTAAAACGGCTTTTGTCCTTCTGAAAACCGGTGCAGCCCAGTGTGCTTGGAGCTTACAAAGGAGCATAAAGGCTCCCAGGGTCGTGGAGGGGGACCGGGCTCTACACATGATTTCCTTTGTCTGGCTTTAAAGACTGTTGTAGGACAAATGGGATTAAATGTGATTTCCTTTCTCTGCAGTCCCCTGAACCTCACCACCTTAGGACCTTTTATATCCTGCACGCAGCCTGGAGACCTCTGACTCCAGGAGCCTCCGGGGGACTGCAACATCCAGAAGTTCCTCTTTGCCCCACCCCAGTAAGGATTGATTGCTACCATCAGGAAAGGAGGGCCAGCCTGCGGAGGCCAAGCTACCCAGTCTCGGGACCCAGCTCCCACTTCTGCACCCTGCTGTCCTCTCAGTGGCTCCTCCAGCATGAGACTTCTGGACCCTCTTCTGCATGACAGCTTCATCCTGGGCTTCCTCCTGCTGCTGTCCTGGACTTCCCAAGGGGCCATTTCAAGTTCACAGGGGAAAAAAAGGGAGACCGGAAGTATCTTTACCAAACATTTCCAAAATGCCAGGAGCCCTGCTAGGTACCCTCAAGGACCGCACTGTCATCCAATGGTCACAGCGGCTCATAAAAGGCTGCTAGAGTCCCTGTTCTGTGTTTCACTCAGCAAAACCCCAGCAGCTTAACCCAAGGAGGCTCCGCTCTCCTTTGGGTTTGCATCCGCCATGCCTGTGCACAGAGTGGACCTTCAGAGGCCAGGACACAGGGCCTCTGCTCTCATAGTGGCCTTGCCTGGTGTCCATGGTGGTCACTTGTCACAGCGAGAGAAGACAGTGTGGACTGACACCCAGGCTTGTCATCGCCTTGGATGCTGGACTCCCACAGCCGGCCGCAGTACTCATGTGGCCCACGTAACTCACTGCGGGGGGGCTGAGGAGTTGGGAAAGCAGAGGCACAGTGGCCTTACCAGGTCACGGAAATGTGCCGCTGAGTGGCTACCCCACTTTAGATGAGCGAATCGCCTTCTCCTGGCCCACAGAGAACTCTGCTCCAGGAACCACCTTTGCGCTTCTCCTGGGCCTCCCTGTGGACACTCGCGTGGGTCCCATCCACAGACATTCTGTGAACGGCTCTTTAGTGTGCGGGGTGCCGAAGCTGAGCGGCCAAGAGGATGTTTACAGCCTCAGAGAGGAAGTCAGGCCTGCTGCAAATAAGTGTCACTTTAATGAAACGCAGGTTTGGATGAATGGAACAAGAACACTACCGAGTGCCTTGGGACTGCAGAGGAAACCGGTGTTTCCTGCCGGGAGCCCAGAAGGCACTAAGAGGGGATTTATACCTTTCCATGGAGCTTTCAGAATCGATCAGCATTTCCCCGAAGGCTAGGGTTGTGGGCACTGTGCTCAGGTGGGTGGCACCTGGGGGACGTTCTGTGGCCCCTCGCCGGGCGTCTCCACACTGGACACCACAGCGGGACACCCTAGACTCTGCTAGGGGACAGCAGCCTTTCCAGTATCAACCACTGTCTTCTTGTTTCCTCCTCCTTTTGGAAATCTCTTGTCTGCATGAACATATTTATTTTCCTTTTACCTTGGGGTTTGTAATCAAACACAGATTTAATCTGCCTAAACACACATCGCAGGAGCCTGTAGTCAGACCGACATTCACACTCCCTCCGTTTTGGGGGTGTTCATTTTTTCCTCTTTAAAACAAACCTTCTGGCAAATTAATGCCACTTCAGGACAAAGGACAGGGACCAGAGCTCAACCCCATGGAATTATCGGTTCCAGTTGCACGGCCTGGGCTGGGGGATTCATACTTCTGCCAGGACCAAAGAGCCGCTTCCCTGTGACTTGCTATGTGCCCTAGCGAACTTACTCAGCTTCTCTGCACCTGAGTTTCTTGGCTAAGTAGCAAAGAATGTTTCTGGATTATTTGATCCTTTCTTGAGCAAATATTGATCAAGTACCTCCTTCAAGCCAGGAAATGTGCCAGTCACAAATGACCTCAGTGAGAGCATTTTCTTCACCAGCAAAGAAAGGAGGCAGGGAAGGAACGCAGGAATAAGAACTGCATACCTACTGTGCGCCCTGACATCTGCTGAGGCCTCCCACGCACATGTGGATGCCACACGACTTGCGGCAGGGATTTCCCACCCTCTGCAGTGAAGAAGCCAAGGGACACCCACGGTACCTTGCAGGGTGGCACTTAGCTGTTGCGTGGCAGAGCCAAGCTGCCAGCTTTGCAAACTGTTGGATGTGAGGCCCACGCCAATTGAGCGGCAGCGTGGCATGAGGCACTGCTAGCAGAAGTCTCCTTGCTGCACTGCACTTTTCTTCTGAGACCCCCAGAGCCTCCGCAGGGGCTCTCATTGGCCTTTGCAGGTAAGAAAGAGCAGCCTCCCAGCTCCCCTGATTCATGTTGCTGGGTGCCTCTCAGCTAGGAAGGGAGGGCACCTGCTGTTGCACCCCCGACCCCAGCTTTCAGGGTCCCTGGACCCCCTGCACATGCGCTGTGTCTGCCGGTGTCTCTGGAGACACCGTTGAGTCAGCTCTTGGTCACTCCCTCTTAATTATTCACAATTACCTCTGTTCCCAGCCCTACAATAAGCCAAGCACAGGGTAGCATTTTCCTAAGACATATGTGTTTAGTGTTGCTGGCACATTTGTAAACTTATTAGTGCCTCTGCGCACCGTATCATTAAGATCAAATTATCTACGGGTTTAAAATAGTGCCTATTGCTATTGTGCTGCCGGAAATGCTCAGGAAAAAGCATTTGCCTCTGAAACACATACAGCTCACACCCACATACACACGTAGACACACGTGTGTGCACACACACGTACACACACGCTCACCCAACACACCACTCCGTTTGCTGAGCCTTCCGTCCTCGAAGGGCAGACAGCCCGCGTGGCGCAGCTGGACAGGTGAAGGCGGGCGTATGCGGAGACGCTTGCTTCGGGGGGCGCTGTCCTCTGCGTGTAGGACAGGGGCACATTCCAGAACATCTGGCGCGAGCGGCCGAGGCGGAGGCGCTCAGACCCAGCTGCGTCTGGGAGAGACTAGGAGAGAAAGGGCACGGGCTTGTTCTCCAGGAGGAGGAGGAGGGTTAGAGCACAGCCTCGCTCATCAGTACCTGCTCCGAGGATGAACAAGTGATCCGCTAGAGATTGGTCAGGGATGGGGCGGGAGGAGGAAGGAGGCAGGAAAGGCAGAATCCGGGCTCCTCCCTGAACCGCCCCCTGTGAGGCTCTTCAGGGCTCTGACTTTAGCAAGCTCGGCCCTGTCCGTGGGGACCTGAAAGGCCCGTGTGGGGGTGACAGAGGACATGCCCAGGCGGGGTGACGAGGGCTGCAAAGGGCGAGGCCTTCTCTACAGGCTGGGTGGTGAGTGCACAAGAGGAAGCGGACTTCCAGGGCAAGGAGCCCAGGGAACCAGCAGGACAGAGGAGGGGACGGCAGCCCGGAGGACAGCCCCAGGCAGCCCCAGTGGCCAGACACCGCCAGTCCGCTGGGCGCCGGGACTCGGCCAGAGTTCCTGGCAGGAGAGCTGGGCAGGCGCTGGTTCCGGGCGGACTCGGCGACATGGAGCCTCCCGCCTTCCTCCGTGCGGGGCTTCAGTGTCCGCGAAGGCGAGATGCTTGAGGGAGAAACGATGTTCCCGAGTGCGGACGCGGAGCTGAGTTCGTATCCTTGCTGCCCGCCCACTGGCACCTAGAATAGCACCTGGCATATGGTGGTGCACGAGGATGCATGAGTCAAGGCAGCCTGAGCTCCGGCTGCGAGGCCGCAGCAGGCTGATCACTCCCAGCCACCACGTCCTCTCTGTGGACGGCGGTGACAGTGTCTCGTGTCCATCCAGGGCCGTGACTCGTGCCGGAAGTGGAGGCTGCCCGGCTGTGGAGGATTAGAGCAGCGTCCCCAGAGGTGAGAATCCTTCCCCGGGCCATCTGGAACAGGGCTGAGCTTTGGAAGGTGCAAGAGAGAGACAGAGTGGCCTTACCAGACCCACCAAAAGGCCTTCCGGAGGGTGCCTGCATTCCTAGGAGCTCCCTGCGTGATTGTCGATTGTCCTGCCCCCGCAGGATTAAGTTTTAGCTCATAAATTAAAATAGTGAGACCACGCGGAGCAGCAGTCCGCAGCTGCAGGCAGCAGGGCAGGCTTCAGTGACCGGGCCCCTCCACAGTGGAACATGCCAGGTAGAGACAGACTTTCACTCTGTGAAGCCAGCGAGCCCCTCTCCCCGCAGCTCTGGGGGCGCGGGGCCGGGTGCTGGTGAGTGCTGTCCAGAGAGCATGGGTTAGGCTTGCTAAGGCCAAACTCCTAGAGAAAGTGAATTTTATGGAACGGTTCTGCATTTCACATGCTAGGGAGAAAGAAAACGAGGGAAGAATGGAGAGCTGGGAAACAGGCTGACGTCCTGGTCTGGAAATAATGTGGGGACCTCTGGGCTGTCTGCTGTCTCGCTCATCTTCTCAGGCCCCAGCAAGGGACTCCGCCCCCCGAGATGCTCCGTGTACGGACCCTTTCCCAGGCTCAGGATGGGGTATGGAGAGTCACAGCGTCCTTCCAGCCACTCACTGGCCCCTCTCTTCTCTCCCCCCACACTGAGCCCCGGTCCGGCCAAACCGAATCTGCCATTTTAGTTCAGTGACACTGGGCACCTCCATGTGCCTTCTCCCTTCCCATTGTCACTGCTCCATTTTAGACATTTGTCACTGAGTGCTTCTTGATTAGTCTCTGTCTATATTTTCCCCCATCACAGCCTCAGAACAGCCCCTGCACCCTAACGTGGCCACGGTTAATTCTCCAACGAAGTCTTAAAGGTGAGCTCCGGCACACCACAGGGGCAGCAAGTATACATACACTCTAGAACCAGATGGCCTGGGTCAAATTCCAAGTTGTTTTAGATCTAAAATGTCCCCCCAAAGTGCCATGTTCAGAGGTGGGGGGTTTGGAAGGTGCCTGGATCGTGGGCGCTGTGCTCATCTGTGGACTGACCCATGGGTGAGTTTGTAGCTGAAGGCGCTGTTAGGGGAGGTGGGGCCTGGCTGGAGCCCCTCTTGGGCTGACCTGGAGGGTGTGTCCTTCTCCCTGCTTCTCCCCTCTCTCTCCCTCCTGGCTGCCATGGTCTGAGCTGCTGTCCACTACTGCGCCCTGCCACCGTGCTGCTTCTGCTTGGAGTTGGGTGGCCACAGACTGGAGTCTCTAAAACTGTGAGCCAAAGTAAACCTCTCTTGCTGAAAGTAGAGGCTGTTGGATAGTTTGTCCCAGTGACAGGAATGTCACCAAGAGGCCCCTCCAACAAGCTTTCTTTGGGTCGGGCGAGTTACTTAACCTTCCTTGGCCACAGATTCCCCATCCATGAAATGGGGATGATAATAATAGCTCTTCCTCTTAGTCATGAAATTATGCACTAACATGTGCAAAGCATGTCATTGCTTTGCTTAAAAAAGACTGTGTGGGCAATGTATGGACTTCAAGCTAAGGCCCAGGCTTCAGTCTGAATTATTCATGGCAGCCCAAGTCTTTGACACTCTGGCTGTTCATCTCCGTTCCCTTCCTCCTCTCATCGCTCTGTCCTCACTCGATCTTGGTTCCAACTCCTTCAAGTTATTTAAGGTCCTGGAATACGCTCTGCACCTTCCCACTGCCACGATGCTGTGCCAGCCCTTTCCTTCATATGGGAAGTGTCCCCAGTTCCATCTTTCTTTTCTTTTTCCATCTTTTGGTGGGGAAAGACGTGTCCTCAATTTCGTTCAGCATTTGGAGAACTCCTATATGTGTTCCGAAACACACGCGCGCACACCCCTTGTTGGGATTTATGCAGTTGATTTTTCATTTATCTAGGTGATTTTACAATTTCTCTATAAATTTTTGTAATGATCAGTGGAGTCGTGTTACTTGATAGTTTTTATGCATCCGACATTTTTATTTATTTATTTATCTATTTTTTGGTACCAGGGATCAGACGCAGGACCCTGTGCTTGTGAGGCAGGCGGTGCCACCACTGAGCTAAATCCCGGGGTGAAATTTTTATTTTATGTTTGTTGCTGATCGGTAGAAATACCACTGACATTTATATATCAATCCTGTGGCTGGAAGCCTTGCCGAAATTACTTATTAACAATCACGCCTATGGATACTGCCGGTTTTCTTTCTTTCCTTCCAACCTTCAGGCCTTTTCTTCCTTGCCTTATGATGTGGCCTAGGACTGCCAAGATAGAGTTGAGTGTAAGTGACACTGTCGGGATGACTGCACCTTGTTTCTGATTTGGGGAGGAAGTTTAAAAAAAAAAAGCTGGCAGACTCACAGTGGCAGGATTGTGGGCTGTTGAAATCTGCAGAAACAAAGGCGGGGGGCACTGGTGCAAAGAGAGACAAGTAGATGAATAGAACAAACGGAGCCCAGAAATAAGTTCACATGACCGCGGTCACCTGAAATGCTGTGCAGGTGACATTCAAGTGCTGTGGGGAAGGACAGTCGTTCAGTAGATGGTGCTGGATCCACTGGATTTCCACATGGGGAAAATGAGCCAAGATCCTATCTCACATTAAACAAAACCATTGTTCCAGGATTTTTTAAAATGTGGTATTTATACACACTGGAATACTACCCTGCCATAGGAAGGATAAACTTGAAACTTTGGTCTTTTGTAGGAAAATAGATGCACCTTGAGACCGTAATGTTAAGTGAAGTAACTCAGACACACAAGCTTAAATATTGCATGCTTTCTCTTATATGAAAACTTACATATGACATGAAATTAAAGACAGATATAAGGGGAAAAAACAAAGAAAGAAAGTTATTGTGATCCAGTGCAGTTAAAGTGTCTAAAAGTGTGCTTTGATTTAGTACAATTATCTTACATGTTTTATATGTTCTTTAGCCTATTAGATTGATTTTCAATCTGTGCATATAATTAACTTTATAAGGTCTTATAAGATATATAAATGAATCTGATGCTGGAAAACAAAAGGGAATGGGGAGTGGGAAAAAAGGGGAATTGAAATGTGTTGCACACATGTACCATTTCCCCGCAGTGCATGTAATCATTGCATACTGCAAGCATGTACTAACAGAAATAAAAAAAAAGAGAAAACAACAAAGCCTACCATTCCAGATGGGTTCAGCATCTAACGATGGAAAATAAAACACCTAGGTTGCAGAGGGGAAAAAAAATGACAAGACTTTTCCTGATCTGGAAGTAGACAAAGATTGTTTATAAACAGTGGGCAAAACACAGTGGCCTTGATGGAAAAATTTGATAAGTGTTTGATATACTATATTAAATTTAATACTGGTTATAACATTAAAGTTAGGAACTTGTGCAAAGATAACCCACCGAATGGGAGCAGCTATGTCCAAAACGTTTCTCTAATGAATGCTTCCCTGGACTATAAAAATAACTCCCACAAGTCCGTATGAAAAACACACTGTGCAGTAGAAGGTTGTGCAAGAGAAAGATGCAGTCGCATCCAAGGTAGGACATCTAAATAGGCAACGAGCCTATGAAAGGGTGGTAAGATGGACTCGCTATTAGGGGAAATGCAAATGAAAACCAAGTTGAAACATAGCCCTACATCAGTCAGAATGGTTAAAAAGACACAAAATACCGATCCCAGAGAAGATCTAGAAGGCCCATGTCCCGTGGACAGGAGTGTAAATGGGTGTGATCACCCGCTGTTCAGTGTGAGGAGCCTGTGCACGCTCTGACCCGGCATTTCCACTCCTGGGTGTGCCTCCCACGTAGCAAGGCACACACATCCACCGAAGACGTCGGTCAGAATGTTCATGGCGGCTCTGGCCACAGCAGAGTGGGTACTGCACCTTAGGGACCATTGCATGGCAACGGGAATGAGTGGATACAGCCGCACGTAGGGAAGGAGATAACCCTCGTGCACGTAATGTTGAGTGGAAAGGAGCCCGTCATAAATGAAAGCATGGAATATGATTCTGTTCCCATAGAGGGGGAAATGTAGTGGGTATCAGAGCCACTGAGGGCCCTGGCAGGGGTGCGCACCTCCTGAGCACATGATCAGCTTGGGCCCCAGGAGGGGCTGTTCCCCGGGGGAAGCCAAACTTGAGCCATGGCCCGAACAGGAGGACTGAGGCCTAGGGCTTCTCCGCAAATTCAAGGGGAGCATGGAAAATAGGA